CCATCACCTGACAAGGTTACCATATTGGTGAGCAAGAAATATTCTAAAATTTGTTGAAACCAATGAGGGTGACCAACCAGAGACTGATATGTGGAACATTCACACAGAGTTGGGGAGGATGTGAGTCATGCCTTCCTGCATCGTTAAAGCAAGACGTGTAGATTTTTAAAAGCACTTATCATAAATGAATTCCTTCATCACCATCTGTTCACTTTTGGTACAGGAAATACTACAAACCTATTCTTGTTATATGGATTTCCAGTTAATAGTTTTAAAAAGGTGTCTCCTTTCTTTAAAGATATATGTAAATCAGTCAAAAGAAATGGGTGTTTTCCTTTACTTAACTTTACTTACTTGGAATAGGGTTAAGTCATGCTCTTTGTCAGCTGGCCCAATTCCAGGGACTGGGTCTTTCTCAGGGGGTACTAAAAATTCTAGTATGATCCTAATATGTGGTGGTTGACTTTGAAAGTTTGATTTAACTGCCAGATGTGTGAGACGGCACATAGAAAACTCCCTAGTGCAGTTAGTGAAGATGCTGAAGGGTAGCAGCAATATTACAGAGGAAGGCAATAATATCCCCACATTCATTTCTCATTTTAAAATATCCTTTTGTTTGTACAAAAACCATTTTTGTGATATGTAAGATTGTACCCATATTTTGTATGCCTGTTTTTAAAATAAATACCCAAATTACACAGACTTGAAAATTTGCCTTCTAGGGGTAAAACTGACATGTAAGTATGTCCTTCTTCTGTGCAAAAAACAAAAACAAAAACAAAAAATACCTGTATATAAATGGCAAATGACAAATGTTCTGACCTTTAACCATGGATATATCATCCTCAAACTAATGAAAATTTTGAAAAGAAAACAGTGATGAGAAAAATAATAGTGGTGAAAGATTTTAAGTAACTACTTCTCTTTATTTTGAAATAAATACTTTGTCTTTTAATCTCTGTTGTTGTCAATGTCACATTAATAGCCACAATGTTTTAAAATACTAAGAAAACTAAGTTTGCAGAACTGGAAAAAAAATAGTTTTGCATTAGGGAATCCTCTGCCATGAATTTGTATCAGTGATAAACCTCCTTTTCCTAAACTCATGGAGATTTGTTTTTACTGAGCCTGCAAATGTTAATATCACTTATACAATGTCCAGGAAAAAGGATTTAGAGAGTGTGAATTGTGAGCTCCACATCAGCTAAACAACTCAGAGGCACTCTGCCCCCTGGTGGAATATCCCAGGGTGGGTTTTGAAGAAAGTTGTCAAAGCTTCACTTCTCACACTCTTCCTTAACCTTTGTCTCTAAAACTCTAGGGAGGTGTCCAGGTTGAGGTTTTTGCCCCCTATACTTACATACTCATTGAATCAACAATTTTCTTTTATATAATTTTAAAATTCTTGGCTACCTAATCAGTTATTCACGTCTAAAATAAAAAAGCATATTTGTCATTATTGGTTATCATGGCTTTATAAGGATTTTAAAATGAGGTGCTGAGAAAAGATGTGGATGTGGCCATGCACTTTGAATTTGTGGAAGATATCCATAAATCTCTAGACAAGGAAAAGAGGAAAGAGAATTTAAAAGTGAATAAGACAGTTCTATAGGAAATTAAATATTTGGTTATTTCTTCTTGGCCATTAGAGACACTGTAAACTATTTCTTGTGCTCCCTTTTGTCCTTTCGGCTGAATGTCCCCAGCCAAGTCAGATAATTACAAAAAGCTGCAAACCTCAGTCATTTCTAGTTTATCCAAGTTCTTTCCATTCAAGCTAGTTGGTGTTCCCCAGTCCACCCTCTTCCAAAGAGCCCTGAATTCCTAGGCTATAAGTGTCTTGCATTCATAAAAGAGGCACTGAGAAATAATGACTAAGAGGAGGTACCATCTCTGAATTTAAAAAGGAAAATGTCAGGCATCTTGATAGGGATTTTGCATGTATAGGCTCTAAGCCTTTGCAACAACTTGCAAGTAGATGATATTTTGGAAAGAGAACCATACAGTTTTAACCTACTTCATTCGCAACTAAAATCTTATTCCAAAAGCTATCCTTCTGTATACTTTACTGGTCTTCATATAAATCACCCTTGCCCCCAAGTCTACTTCTAACTCAGATCTTTTTTTCTTCATTTTGTATTTTAAGCATCATACAGTACCTTGGAATCTTACTACCTACCTAGAGATTACACATTCCTTCGAAAAATGCTGGTTTGGAAAACACTTGTGACAGAGGATATGACTTACCCTCTTTGCAGGACATGAGAACACATTTCTGTTTAATTCCTTTTAAGTTCTTCCCTTGGACACTAAATCCCCAAGTCACCACAACACAGATCAGTCTGCCCATGGACTCAGTTATTATCAGTCATTCTCTCAAGAAGTTTCAAACTTCCAAATACAATCCCAGAATCCAATGAACTAACCACTATTCAATGATTTGTAGAACGCAAAAAGAACTTTTATTTCATTATTTTCTGAAATTTCACTTTTAGTTATACATTTGCTGAAACGTGGAATACCAAAGGCAATTTTCAGTCACAGCAACTCCATTGAATACACTTACTTGACTGAGTGAATTATAGTCCTCTCTGGGTTTCCTGGTTAAAGAAGACAAAACTAAGATAATAGAGAGGAAAAGTGACAAATATTGTTCAGCAGGAAATTTGCTGAACTCAATAAACATTCATTCATGGGTGCAGTGTCCATTTTTTAAAAGGAAACTCTAAAATTCCTAGAAATACAAGACAATATTGGTATCTTTAGATGAGTATACATTCATATATCTGTGTGAAAATTTGTGCAATTAAACATTATGGAAATATGTTATTTGTTACCACAGACAATGAAAATATATTTTCATTTCTATGTAAGTTAAACATTTCCATCTCTCATTTTATGTTCTGCAAAAAAGCCACATGTCTAGTTTATGAAATAAACTATGCTGTAGGCAATAGTAACTGAAAAAGAGCTTAACAGTCTTAACTGCATACCCCTGGGATGAATAATACACTTTGCATAATCATGTGCAATGCTGGATGATGATTCTAGATCTCATAACTACAAGAGTTTGCAAGCTTTTACTTGATACAGTATGCTCCAAATCCAGTCAATTCAGCCAAATAGTCAAGCAATAATTAAGGTGGGTAATTTACAAAATGGCAAACAACCCCTTTGACTAAATTGACCTTGTTTTGTTAATATGAGGACACAATCATTGCAGGTGCCCTATGAAGAAATCATTTGTAAGTAGCTATTTGTTTCAATTAATTCCCCCCCCCCTAAGGCTCTTAGAAGTTGATTTAATTACCTCTTAGGCCCCAAGAAAACACAGCCACATAAACAGAAGACCAACATATTAATAACACACACACAAAAAAATACCATGCTCTGTGTACATTCCTCCATGGGAGAAATGTTACAAAAAGTGAACAAATTAACCTGGGGAGTCCAGCAAAAGTATAGGATTATCCAATGCCTAAAATTTTTATCTTACTCCAGTGACCGATATAACGTTGATTAAAATTTCCTTTTTTACTTAGCTTACATGTGAACTTTTGAATACTACATTTTCCATAGTCATTACCCAAAGCAAAGTTCTGTGCATTAGGCAAGCAGTGTACTTCAGCTCAACACATCTATTGTCTGAGGATCTGGACTGGGGAGCTTCAAGCAGAGAGTGAATCCATTTTAAAGATAACTCACTTCTGCAGATAAATCATATCATCTACAGTTATCCCTCTGAAGAAAGGGGTATGAATCTTTGGCTTATTAAATACTCTGTGTACACATGTTTTTTCCATGCAGTTGATCCTTTAGGAATACTTCTGCTTATTAAGATAATGTATTTTTAAAAATCTTTTAGTGTGTGATTTTACCCTGGAATGGGAAGTCCTCATAATGAATTTGAAATAACCAAGTCAAAACTTGGGGGGAAAAAGATACGTCTAAAGTATTCGAAATATTATATTCTTTGAGATGACAGGTCTGTGACAAATTTCTAAGGTTAAAAGGCTTGCCAGTTTCCTGGTTGGTAAATCTGAGGTTTGGTTCTATATATTGTAAAGAAAATAGGCTCAATTTCAGCCTCTCTAAGCTTTTCAAAATTTCTTGCATTTTATTTTCTAATAATCTTTGTTCCTACCCAAACTTTAATAGCAAGAAAAATGAAACAAGTTTCTTTCTCCTATCCCAATACATACAAATTTTAGGGCTCTTGCTGCATATTGAAGATTTCTGGAGAAGAAAACTAGTTTTCCTGGTTACTTTATATGCTCACACACAAAGGAATCACAGATGGGGAGGAGAGTGCAAATGACTATCAGAAAAAAATGTTTCATGCATTTTAAGATTTTTTTTACAAGTCAAAATATACATCCTCCATTGCCCCCCTCATTCCTTAACTGTATAAAAAACCATTCCTATTTCATTAGTCTTCTTTACATTTCACCTAATTGGATAAAGAAGAGAGATACTTTTCTTTTCAAGGAACAGTAAATATCTAATACTAATCAGTTTAACCGACTGCATTAATAAGACATAGCAGCACTTTGGGCTGAATTGCCCATTATACCCTTCATTTATGGGGATTTGAGTGTGTAAAATGACAAGCACATGGAAATCAGGAGGAAAAATAAAGTAATCTGCAGACTTTGGCACTAGCACACAAAATATTTTGAGTTGTGAAAGTTGCAGTTTGACAATCACTAAACAAGAATTTAAAAAATTAGAAATCTGCAGAAAACAATCATAGGTGTTGATTCTCAATATATCACTCCCATCTCCCACTCCCACCCGCCCACCCTATATAGTTTCAATTATAATAAAAATAGAGATCTTAGCATCAGAATTTTGCTGTTAACTCTTCAGGGTTCTCTGCGCCACCCAAGACACATTTAGGGTTTGAAGCACCAAATCCACAAGTTTCTCCAACCAAGTTTAAATAAACAAAAACTGAAGACTGAAGAATGCCAAAGTAACTGTTCTTAAATTAAGCTGTAACACAATGTTCTCCCCAAAACACAGGGTATTAAGTGTCTAGTTCAAGTACTGCCAGGCTGTTTGTAGATCTGTCTCAGACAGGCTTCAGACAACAACTACAAGTACCACTGGCTTTAGAGGACATCATCCGTGATACTAAAGCAGGGCAGGGATCACCTATCCATCATCAATTTTTAAGTTGCAAACCCATTTGTGATTGGCTGCCGCAGTATCTGTGCTGAGCCCAAGGTTTGAGGGGAGGAGGTGAACCTTCTCCTCAGCAGGGAAGCTCTACATTTAGTTTGAACAGTTCTCCTTTCAGAGCTCTCAGGGCTGTCCTGGCTTCTCAGGATCCATTGCCCTTGCCCAGAAGAGAGAGCCTTGTTCGGACCCAGTAACAGCGAAAGAAGATTCCACCTACCTGTGGAAAGACCCAACTTGGTCCCCAAAGGTCGCTTAGGCGACCCCACTGCAATTGGCAAGTCAACTTGCGCACTTAAAACGTATCAGTTTATGGAATGCTTGTTTGAAATCCTCATTGGACATGGTATAGATGATGGGATTGATGAGGGAATTTAGATAGCCTAGCCACGTGAAGAAATCAAAGATGGCCATGTGGAACCAGCAGGCATCCTTGCAGATAGGCATCACCAGGGAGATGATGAAGAAGGGCAGCCAGCACACAATAAAAGCTCCCAAAATTATCCCCAGGGTCTTGGTGGCTTTGCGCTCTCTAGCGGCCATGAGCTTCTTCTTTTCCAGCAAGGCGTCAGAGACTCGAACTTTGACTTGGTTCACATATACTGGAGACCCAGATTCGCTGGGCACATCGGGAGCCCGCGAATTAATGGAGGTGACAGAGGACGTGGACCCAGGGGAATCTGTGATCAGCTGGGCTCGGGTCAAGCGCTTGCCGGTCTTGTTGGGCGTCTGTTTCAAAATCCGCGAGCGGGCTTCCACATAGATGCGGCCGTAGAGGGCGATGAGGAGCAGGGTGGGTAAGTAGAAAGCACCCACCGTGGAGTAGACCGTGTAGAGGACGTGGTCGGTGTTCACTAAGCAGTCCAACACTTCTTCCTCGGCTTTGGCCTGACGCCAGAAGAAGGGCGGTAGAGAGATAGAGATGGAGAAGACCCACACCAGAGTGATCATGACAGCCGCCCTTTTGGGAGTCCTTTTAGCTGAATACTCCACGGCATCCGTGATGGCCCAGTAGCGGTCCAGGGCGATGACACAGAGATGCATGATGGAAGCAGTGCAACAGGTGATGTCCGACGACAGCCAGAAGTCGCAGACCACCTGTCCCAGTGTCCAGCGGCCTGTAACCGTGTACATAGTGCTGATGGGCATCACCAGGATGGACACGAGCAGGTCGGTGACGGCCAGGGAAGCTATCAGATAGTTAGCCGGGGTGTGCAGCTTCCGGGTCCGATACACCGTGGCAATCACAAAGGCATTGGAAAGCGTGGTGGCCAAGGTGAAGAGCGCCAGCAGCACAACCAGCAGTACTTTCCAGGGCAGGGCAATGGAGTCCTGGTAAATGTAGCTCTCGGCGGCGCTGCAGTTGTGGGAGGGAGCAGCAGAGAGGTTGGCTTGGGGTACCCCGATCTGAGATCCCGCGGGCGGCGGCTGGGCGCACTGAACACTCGGTCCCTCCATGGCTCTTCTGGCCCTAGCTCTGGAGCGCAGCTCTTGGGCATGGAGCGGACGAGGAGGACAGCAGAAAATGGAAGGTTCATAGAGACCACAGTCAGGTCTCGCCTTGAAGTCAGTTCCGTGGGTTTCTTTGTAACTCCTCCGCCCAGGTTCCTAGCTGAAACTAGAGGTCACCCGCGCAGCAGGCAAGCAGGCGGGCGCGTCCTCTGCACTTCCAGTGCGCCTGGCGCTGCGTCTGCGTTACTGACTGCTCCTCTCCACGCCCTGTCCTAGCCCTGGTACCTGAAGAACTGACCCACCCAGCCCAGCTCTGGTTTTGCTCTCTGGAGAAACAAAGTGGAGAAGGGAGAGGTATTGCTTGAAGATAGGGGCTGGGTCAAGTGGGATCTCTTACCCTATTGCTCAGGGCTCAGCATCTCCTAACCTGGGCGCTCCTGTATCTGCACACTCCGCCCGCAGGAGTTTTCTAGCAGTAGAGACCAAAGCTTGCAGGCCAGCCAAGAATCTTGGTCTTGCATTCCCGACCCCCGCCCCAAGCTGGGGCACTTTCCTGCGGCGGTTGCAGCCGCCAAGCTGGGTGGGGTGAAGTCTGGGAGCCGCGAGGCGCCTTGCGCTGTAGCTGTCCTCCCTCTCTTTTCACGCGCAGACCAGTTGGGCGAGCTGCCCCGTGGAGAAGGGGCCGCAAGAGGGGGGATTCGGGGACTGGAGCTGTGGCTGCTGGCGTCGTGCCGCCGCTGCCACCACCACCTTGGTTCCACCAGCACCGCTGGGAGCCATGCCGCTGGGCGCACGGGTCTGGGGTACTTGGAGCCGCACACTGGGAAGGAGTAGGTGTCTGAGAGAGCTGGAGGGACCCGGCAAGCGCCAGCCTGGGAGAAGCCTGTGAGTGGCGGAGCAGATGGGCTCCTTTTATAGAGTCCGGGTCCAGTCCGCCAGAGCCGTGCAACTCGTGTGGCTCGGCGAGTGCGGACGCCTGCTCCACATCACCTTCGCTTTTTCTCTCTCCCTCCCTCTTTTCCTCCCGCCCCGTTCCCTTCCCGGCCAAACAAGCTCCCGCCGGGTCCTACTGCCCTCTCTCCCCTCTTCCCATCCCCTGTCCCCTCTCCTGACTCCGATACCCGAAGTCACAGTTCTGGCCCAGAATGGGGATAAGGACGTCCTCTTCTCAGTTCGGGCTTTGGAGCTTGTGCGATTTCCGACACTGAACCCTACACCTTCAGATGCTGTTACCGGCTTTGTCCCAGTGTCCCAGTCTAGGTCTCCTCCTAAGCCCCCTTCCCTTCCTTCTTGGAGGGCAGTGTTGAAGGAGCAAGCCTGAGTCTCTGACCTCTCTACTCTGGAATCTTATCCACTGAGTGACACACCCAGATTAGAAGGAGACGCCAATAATATCCTCCTTAGAAGGAAAACAGTCTTTTTATACTTAGGGTTTCACGTTATCCTTAACTCTTGGTACATTAAAAAGTAATTTTTCATAGCTAGGTTTAGAAATTCGTGCTTGTCGTTCAATTCCTCTCCTATAACTTCGTGAGTCAACAGCGGGGGCTAGAAGCTGTCTACAAAAATGTAGAAGTATCACAAACAGAAGCCTACTGCATGTGAAATTAAACCTTCCGCTCCACCGGAATGCTCCAAGCCTCTCAGCAGTTCAATACTCTGGAAAACAGTTCCCCTTGAGCATGTACCTTCCCACAGCACTCCTATAAAGGAGGTCATCAGAATTCAAAAAAAAAAAAAAAAAAAAGGCTCTGGAGCCATCGCCATCAGTATTATCAGTATACCTTCTCTGCCCTCAGAAAATACATCAAGACCTTAGCCATGGGCAGCAGCAAGCAATGGCAGTACTTAGATCCCATTTACACTGAGCTAATTCCCTGTTCTCAGTTTCTCCTCCAATCTCAACAAAACAAATGTAATGTGGATGTACATCAGAAAGTTTAAAAGAAATCACCAGAAAAGACAATGTTTCTTCAGTCCTAAGAAATAAGTGATCCCCACTAGAAATTCCTAGACCCCTTAAATGTTTGGCATGTCCAATATGTCTAATAAAAACCATACTGTAATTGAATTTATCAGGTTAAATGCAAGCATATTTTAAAGAGAGCCATTCACTCTCTGAGTCAAATATTATGTGATTAATCCATCCAGTTTTAGAGGAAGAATAATTGAGATCCTTTGCAAAAAGGACCTTTTCTTTTTGTCCCCCCCCCCCTTAGAAATAGAGTCTCACAATGTCATCCAGGCTGGTCTAGGAAGACTGAGCTCAAGAGTTCCTCCTGCCTCAGCTTCTGAAGTAGTTGGGACTACAGATATGCACTGCTGTCCTGGCTAAGAAGAGCTTTTTTCTCCAAGGTGACACAGCCTAAACCCATGTTTCCTTAATTCTTGGCTCTCTAAGCTATGCAGGTATAAAAACCATAAAACACCTATTCTAAGAAGGATATTATTCTAGGCACTAGGAGTATGGATGCCAATAGGGTAGAGACAGACCCAGGTTTCCAGCGGCCTGCATTCTAGGAGAGGCTGACCGCAAATACATGAACAAGTAAATAATTTATAAAATTTCAAATAGAATCAAGCATTATGAAGAAAATAAAACACCCAGGCATTGAGAGTGTACTCCTTTAAAGTGGAAGCTCTCCACAGGGGTTGGGCTGCAGTTCCTGTTCTTGTCCCTTGCCCAGCAATTCTCCAGCATCTCAAGCTTCCTTTACATCAATTTTCAGGGGTCCTCCCCATCCTTACATTCCATCCAAGCACGGCAGGAGCCTTATTTTATTATTTTGCAAACTGCCAGGCTCTCTTAGCGACCTGGGAAGGAAGCAAAACAAGCGCACTGAAACCACTAGGTGGGGGCGTTGGCCAGGATCCAGCGAAAGTGTGTGTGGTTGCAGGCGGGTGTGTGCTAGGAAAGTATTTTCCTTCTGTCTTAGGGGAACTAGGAAAGACTTGAAAAAAACGTTGGAGGGATGGGAAGCGAGTTGCGGGGAGGGTAGAGAGGAATGATACCAACTGCGGGCAGCTCTTCCTCTTTTATTTCTGCTTCAAGAGCTTGGGAAGGAGAAAACCACTTGTTCTCCTTAGGGTTTGCCTTTAGCGATATAACGACCTGTGGCATTCTCCATCTGCTTCTGAGTCCCAAACCCTGAGCAGAATATGTTACTTCTGGGGGAAGTTTGATTTTAGCCTCTTCTGTTAAGAGTTGTACTAACAGTATCTCGGCAAAGAAGGAATTTTGGCAGCGTTCACTGGAGAATCACATTTCATTAACCTGGCTTCTGGGTTTCACTCATTCCTTTGGCGCTTATAAACGTATAATGTAGGTGTTTGCATATCAGCGTGCTCGCGGGAAACAGAGGACTCTTAAAGGCGTTCATGCCTGCATTGTTTCTGCGGCGGGCCCGCCCCTGACCACTGTCCTTGAGCCTGATTCACGCGCCCGCTCCGCAGTACCCCGCAGCACCAATGGGAATCTCTCTTCAAGTTTGCAGTAAATTCAGTGGACACAGACTCAGTAAGAGGGGTAAGGAGGGAAGGAGGCTGAAAAGATCAGCAAATTTAGCTGGGTAGGGCTGAGGATGCAGCTCAGTGAGGTAGCGTATTAGCCCAGCATATATGAGGCCCTGAGTTCAATTCCCAGTGCCAAAAGAAGAGAGACCAGGTTGGCGGAGCGGGGCGGGGAGGGAGGGGGGACAATTGAGAATTAAATTGCCCAACCGTGAATTGCAAGTGGATGGAATTTCAGCAGAAGCTGAGTAAGTGTGGGATAACTGTTGAACTGCAGTGTCAGACAGGAAACCAGATTCCATAGAGACCTACTTGGGGAGGGGCTGGGAAAGAATGGTTCCCCTAGGAGTCCTTCCCTATACCAAAGAATGCTATGCCTGGGTCGCCTCCGCTGCTGCTGGGAAATTCCAGGCACCAACTAGAAAGTATAAAGCCCCTAACTAGACCTAGGACCTTACTAAGAAAAACCTTCCTTTTCTCCTCCACCTTCACAAAACCAACAGTCACACCCAACAGAACTCAACTGCTGCAACTCCACTAAGGATGACAAATGCAACCCTTTGCCCTTCATCCCCTTGAATATTCACTTGCAAAATCTACATGCATTCCTTAAAACAGAATGGGGGCATCTGGAAAGCTACATTTTATTAAGTCTTGCTTCATAAATCTATGGTGTTCTTATTATTGGGGTGTGTGTGTGTGTGTGTGTGTGTGTGTGTGTGTGTATTTTAACTCCAACCCAGGGAAATGAGCAGCAGGAGACCAGTAGCTCTAAACATAAGTTTCATATGTGGTGACAGCTTGGTTCTAGTTTCCTTTTATATTTCCTCCAGTGACTGTGTTTAAAAGTTTATTGGTAGCAAGAAAGTACAGGTCTACCCAGTGCCTTCGTTCTTACCATCCTTTGTGTCTTCCTTGCTGAAACTAAGAATGTTCAGACAAATGACCATATTTGTACATATACATACATAAGCAATTTTGGAAGACAATTCTGAGGGTTTCCAGAATCCTTTTCCATATTCATTAACTTCCATATCCATTAGGCCTTTGAGCTGGTATTTGTGTCATGGTGCTTACATGTTGTCAGCTTTATTAATAATGTTTAAGCTTTAACACACACATCTTAAGGCTCATATTTTTGTACTGTTAATTGAACCCAGGGGTACTTAACTTGTTAGCCACATACGCAGCCTTTCTTATTTTTATTTTGAGACAGGATCTCACTAAGTTAGCTAAGGCCTGCTGAGTTGCTGAGCTAGCTTTGAACTTGCACTCCTGCCCAGCTTAAGACTGTTTTAATGCCTGTCTCTATAGTAATAGATAACTATTATTATAAACAGACTTTAAACAGAGATCTGCAACATACAGATTATTGCTGGTTCAAAGCTAACTCAACTTTAACTACTTAGCTCACAAAAGATGTATAAATCACACACATCCTGGATGAATATATAGGTCTTAGAAATTTTCTAATTCAAAACTACTGCTAAGTAATATAAGTACTAGTTGTATGAAAGATGCAATGGGTTTTATCAAATTTTTGCTTTATTATTTTTTCTCTATTTCATATATTTCTGCTCCTACTCTTATTTTCCCTTCCGAGAACATAATTTGAAAATAATTTGACTGTTGTTCTAGCTTCTTTCTGATACAAGTACTTTAAGTTACAAATGTTCGTCTGAGTACTGTTTCATCTCAGAGATTCTGATATTTTAAGCTTTTATTATCCCTTGGTTCAAAGGACTTTTTATTTACTTTTCTTGTGCTTTCTTCCATGACCTCTGAGATATTTCAAAGTGTGCCATTTAATTTTGAAATAGTCGACGTGGGCATAGGGCTCTATATATCTTAAGGTGAC